ATATTTGAATGTCATTATCACAATCAATGCCAAATTGTATATCGGTGGCAAGCGTTTGTGTCTGCACTTGACTGCAGTAACCACTTCACGTTCGCCATGGCATAGTTGTGGCAAGAAAACAATAGCCGCTTACATTTGTTTGTGTACGCATGTATATACGTTTGTACAACGCATGTACCCCTTAAAATAAATACATACGTTTGTATTTATACATAAGTATGTAGTATATGCATACCTATTGTGAAATATGAAGCCTTCAGTCAAGGTTGTCGGTGGGCAGGCCACTGTGCGTAGTTGCTACCGCAAATGCATAAGTACATACACCCAGGATGTACATACATATGTATGTATGTATAAAAAAGCTTGTAAAAATAAAAGCTCATGTTGCGTCAAAGTGGTGAATTTTGATAAATAATACATAATTAAAATTGCATGCATAAATAGCGTGGCTTAAAAAAAAACGTAAACTGCAAGTTCCCATATTTTTTTTTTTTTGCCTGCCATAATCATATTTTATTTAATTATACAAAAGGTTTACATTTCATTTTGACCTCAACCGCCACTAATCTTCCCAGACGTTGTTTTTTCTTTATGTTGAATCTCGTTATCTCAAAACACATGTACAATACATACATATGTATATAGTACATATATGTATAAGTACCTCGAAGCGGTCCCCACATGCGCTACTCTTAATTATTTATAATTTTTTATACAATACACACACGTGAACATGCAAAATATTGGCATTTTTAGGACCATTTAGATATTTTTTTTTTTTAATTTTCTAGTCTTGCTTTTCGAGATCTTTTCGGGATTTATTGGGTTTTTCGTGACTTTCAGGACACTTCCCGGACTTTTAGTATTTTACTTTTCTAGTTCTAGTTTTGTTTTCGACATTGTTCAGAATTATTGATGGTTAACTTTCGGGAACGTTAAGAATTTTGTATGTAATAACTTTTCGTAATAATTCCCGTTTTTGTTTTTTGGGATTTTTCGGAAACTTTTGAAATTTTTTTGGGGACTTTCCGGATTTTATTTATTTTTTCAAGACTTTTCGGATTTTATTGCTGAACTTTAGAGAGCTTTTTGGGTTTTTCGGGATTTTTATTTTTTACGCTCTCGGATTTTACGAAAACGTTTGGGATATTTCGTGGTTTTCTGGATTATTTTCGGGACTTTGCGGGTCTGTTATTTTTGTATTTTCGAGACTTTACGGGTTTTCTGGTGTTTTTTGGCTTGGTGGGTTGTGGTTTTTTTATAAATTTTCCAGGAGAAGTATTCCTCGTCGCAACAAAATGCCATTTTGAAACCAAATGAGCTCGGATGCAGATTCCTGCAAGACTACGGGCTTCATTCATAAAAAGTGACCTTAACCTCAGACTAAATTTTTGCATTGCAACAATGAGCTCAAGCTCAAGAATTTGTACTGGAAATCGATTCTTATGTTTCGGCAAATCCAGAGAGTTGTTTTTAAATTTATCCCAAGCTAAACATTTGCAAAAATCTTGCCCAACTAAACATCTCAAAAAGGCCATTTTCCGGAAACGGATGAAAATACAACAGAGCCACTTGCGGACAGCGTGCGCAGGGTAGCCAAATCGAAAACAGCTAATAGAGATTTTAATAAAATACATTTTTCATTATAACATTAAATAGTTCGTAAATAAAAACAAATATGTAATTTTTATTTGGTAACATTTCAATTGCTCCACCACCTTGTATATATGTATTCTTTTTACATGTGCACAATGTAAAAGCTCCCTTCATCCATTACTGGAACAGCGGTATTACGGTATATGTAAAACAGTTACTACGTTTATACGCATGCATAAGTCGCTTTAATTCATTTCGCCGCGATTCAAAACATATGTATAAACTGAATTTCAATTCGCTTTGAAAGAGCGAAGTGTTTTGGCTCACACTCCATTTCAAATCGGTAGTTTATTAGCCCGAACACAATGAAAACGACGAGCTACAAACCACAGCTGTCAAATTATTTTAACACGTACTCTTATGTAGATAATTATTTTGGCGACGACCGGGCTACGCGACGGCTGTGGTTGTGGCCAGATTAGATCTATTTCTATTTTTCTGGCGACAGATAAGGTTCTTCCTCTTCTTTTATGTCAAACTCATACAAATTCATGATGTCGCTGCCGCGTTCAAAGAAATCATGTCGCCATCGACAAAGCGCTTAGATAATAAACATGACAAATTGGAAGCTGTGGTCGGTAGCTCGTCGTTTTCAATGTGTTCAGAACTTATTTCTCCAGACAGTTAGAAAGAGTGTATAAACACCGCTCTCACTCAAAGCGAATTGGAGATCAGCTGTTCCGCTCAAATTCCAAATAATCGCATCAGTATTTAACAAGGCGAATTTATATAAGGTGGTATTAATAGATCAGCTGATTTTTTGTATGTGTTTCGCCTCACGGAATCTTATGTCAAATTGAAAAATTTTGTGTGGAAAATACTCTTACAGATTTTGACAGTTTATGCCGTCAAAGCAAAAACAAAATACATGTAAATTTTTGTTTTTGTACTCCTGCTATCACCTTATATAAATTCGCCTTGAGTATTTAAAAGCTGATTAATAATAATCGTTCTTTTTCTTTGCCACGATTTTATAATGCCAAATAAAACTAGATTTTTATCTCTTTCCATTATGTTAACTTATAAAATGTCAAATGAAAACAGCTTATTTTGTTTTCTTTTGAAGACGGTTACTTTGATGCCGATATAAAGCCGTAAGTATAAACACTAGAGCGAAATGTGTACGGTGTCAATGCGCTTTCAATTAAGTCGATTATTCTGTGCGTATAAACGTAGTATCTGTTGTAGTATATTTTTCAAAAGATCCACTTTTTCTAGTTATTCGAGTAAAAGGGCTCGCAAATGTTAAATTCTATAAGTCTACATGCTACATTTCGTCGTTTAAAGTACAAAACCGCGTAACTGACATTGGCTGCCAAAAATTGGATCTGCCCACACGAGCTCTTGGCTCAATCCTTATCCATTCTTCCTGAAATATACTAGCCAGAAGTGCGATTGCTTTATAAAAAAAGATAGCCATTTTGAAATATGAGTGTTTTTACGCTCTAGAAAATAATTTCTACAACTTCACATACGCGGTTTTGCAAGTTGTTGATACCCGGTTTTACACTTTAAACGACGATTTAAGGAGTATGGCCTGGCTTTTGAACTGAGAGATGGCTAATCTCTGCCTTTCATCAACGGTTACATAAGCCAGATCTTTGGACTCGTCAAGGTAATCAACTACGGCCTTTCCCTGCCTGCCACACTGCAGTGAGCAAAGAACCACATTTGCCCAGCGTTGTCCTATACAATTATAATATTTTATGAGTAATAACTATCACGTTTCCCTGTTTCTTCTGTAGTTATTGCGGTTTATCTATCTCAAGTTCAATTTTTAATACAGTGTAAAGAAATATTAATGTTCATACGACTTCTTTGATAATTAATTGCATTAAAATTTAAAATTGCAAGCTTTTGAGATACACCAGTCTGTTGGGAACAAAGCCCAAAGACTAAACTCGTGTAGAACAGAAAATTTAGCCAAAATGAGCTCACTGAAGTACCTTATTAAGCAGGTTCTTAGCTAACTATTTTAGAGAAAAGTCTACACTTGGTATCGCTACCTATGTTTGTATGTATTCACATATTACATTCCCCCAATCATTTAATGATGCCAACCTTTATGAATTCCCTCGATTATTAAACTTTCTGTTTAGCAGATTTCCAAAGTGTTAATTAAAATTAAATCACAAATGAAATTCAATATCTCTGTGATAAAAATAGCTTTGCAGTAAAAAGTTACCAAAGAGAATTGTTCTTTTAACGAGACGAAGATGAGATCATTGACTCATTCCACCGCAGAGACATTTATAAGATTTCTTTGGTGAATGCATAAATTAATTCAAGACATCTTCACATGCATCACTTAGTAAAGGTAGTTAGTACGTTAATAAATGTGTACAGATAAAGATATACACTTACACACTCACATTTACTTTTACTAAAGTTCTACTATAGTGACTACAGTCATTTATATGGGAGCATGTATTTAGTTACCGCAAACTACAAATATGAAAGCCATATTATTTTCATTTACACTCATACATGTGTGCATTAGGGTGCCTCACCAAAAGAGTGGCAGGTTTTCCAACGGAAATATTAAATTTGGAACATTTTGAGACTTCCGCCAAAATATTTCAGAAAAATATTAAGATTTACAATTATTTAGCTGGACTGATTTGAATATATATCTCCAAAAATCTGATTAGTTTGATTATGCTGGTCAGACCTTTAAAGCTTCAACTCTTATATCATCTAAGTTGATTTTTTGAAAAAAAAAATTAAAAACTAATGTTTTTTACTAAAAACGAGATTTTCTGATTTATTTTCAAATCGATCCAACTCACGTAAATCTCAATATTTTTCCGAAATATTTTGGCGGAGGTCTTAAAATAGCATACATTTTATATTTTCAATGGAAAAACACTGCCGATTTTTTTATGGAGAGTGATGCACCCTAATGTACATACAGAAACATGAAGTTACACAAGTATCTCCTTTAATAAAAATTGAAGTTGTAAAAATGCTCATCTGCATTAATCGCTTTGCCGGTTGACTTGCCTTGTCGCCTGTCGTATTTCTTCGTCATTGTCAATCGTTTACTTACACCTTAGCTGCATTTATGACTGTGATTGTTATTTTTTGCACACCATAAATTTTAGTATTTCTCATTTTTTCGATGTGAAATATTTTTTATGGCTTTCGACTGTAGACACATGATAATACTAAAATTCCTTTAACTCAAAGCAACTAGCACTAATATTTTTTTTTTCAAATTTCAGTACATTTAAAAATGAAAAGGTTAGGTGAAGTGTATTGCATGAATTATGGAATTTATATAATAAAACCGTTTTTATCAACACAAAATTAATTTCATTATTTTTTCTTTTCTTTCTTTCAGCTTGTGTCCAATACTCGTATATTCTAATACATAAACTTTAGATTAAAAAAAATACCTACACTAAATTGTAATAAAATGGGCGAACGACGTGGTACAAAAGCTTTGGAGTTATGGTGCCGACGTATGACGGAGGGCTATCCGGGCGTCAAAATCGATAATATGACCACATCATGGCGAGATGGTTTGGCATTTTGCGCTATGATACATCATTTTCGGCCAGATTTAATGTGAGTAGAATGAGAAAGAAATATTAAGCAAACATTCAACATATTCCACGCGAAAATGACAAGGAAATTTGATTTGCAAAAAAATACCGTATTGCCATTTTTCAATATTGCCTAAGATTTGGGTGTTGGCTTACCTTTTGTAATGATTCAATTAATCTCTCATTACTTTGAAGTGGAACTTTAAAGCTGATGGCAACCCTTTTCAAAAATATTTTAGAAAAAAAGCTTAATTAAACCTCTCTCGCGTGATACCCATAGCAAGATATTTCATTTGAACCCATTGTGACCATCTTCAGAATTATTTATTTCAATTTCCTACTAAAATTTATTTCGTATTTCTAGACAGGTGGCAAAACTCGGCACAATTTCTCAAACTAAAGTTTTCTTAAATATTTCTTATTCGATAAAATATTTAATTTCACTTGCTAATTAAATTAGTTTTGCCTTTTTTTAACAGGGGGCAACCCTCTTCAAAACATTTTCGAAATAAACCCTTTTCGAACACCTTTCGTTTGATACCCACATTGGTATAATAATTTATTTAGCTTAGGTACTGTCAAACAAATTTTTCTTCTTCACACAGTTGAGATTTTCGCAACAGGGAACCCAAATATATCGGCAAATGTTCATAACTACATGCATACAGTGAGTCAAACAAATGACCACGTGTTGATTTCTTTTTTAAATATTCGTAAGGTTTTTTGAGTTAATTTTTTCGTTATTTTTCTATAAAAATATCGTCCAAGCTTTACCCAAAAACACATCAATCACAGTTTCAAACTTTATAAAAAATTTTGGAAAATTTAACAAATTTTCATCAAAATTTCAACTTTTTACTCTGAATCTTTGAAACATGAAAAACATTACGAATATAAAAAAATCAACACGTGGTCATTTGTTTGAGTCACTTTATATACATATCAGAGTATATAGTACATATGTATATAGATGTAAAAAGTATAAAGCCTACTTCCAGCGGTGACAAAATTTGGTTAAAGGTCAAAGAACCTCCGGTTATTACAGAGTAAGCCAACATACTCATGTATCTATATCTATGTAAGTGTATACATACATACATGTAAATTTCTATTCAAGCAAACAACTTGACAACACGCAATGCATACGAAATTAGTAGGTAGTTAGAAAGGCTTTTGAAATAAAAACGCACAAACATACATACATACATATCTACATATGTAAACACGTATACAAATGTAGATATTTACTATGACTATCATTACATATGCACATTTGTTTTTTTTTAGTTATTATGTGGAAAAAAGCAGAATTGTACATTTTGTTTTATACCTACATATATACATAAGTATGTAAATATGTAGCCGCACCGCCACTTTGGTATAAAGGTAGGAGTAGCAGAAGTTGTATTTGTTTAACTCCATTGCCTATTTGTCCATTTGTTTGAAATTTGACAACAAAAGTTGGTAGACGAGTTGCCGGCAGCTAAATCAAACAACAATAATAATTATAATAACAACACTGATACCAGTTTTTTATGACAACGTTTAGTTGTTATGCCGCTGAGTATAGCGGTTTTTTTTATTTCTCATAAAAATACAAAAAGTAAGTTTTTGTTTGGATTTTTGAATGGTGCATGCATATATACATAAGTACGTCTGTATGTATGTATATATGTAGCTACCTGTATATATAGTGTAGAATTCAAGTGCGTCATGCGGTTATGCATCATACTAGCTTAGCATTTTTTTTTAACAAGAACACGTCTTTCTCTGGGTCACATATGTATGCATCTTAGTTTCCAAATACTGTTTAAAGAAAGGTTTAGTTACAAAGACGAGCTTCATGCACGATATGTATATTGTATGTTTTCAGTGAATCTTTAAAAGCTCGTCAGTGGTAATTTCTATGATATAAAGTTGCTTAATTATATATATATATATAGTCATTAAATTGTTTTTTGTGAAACTCAATTCGTCAGCAACAAATCAATTTGTGTTATGAAATATTCTCCATTTCGTCATTTCATACTGCAATTAAGAATAATTTGCCTTTGTTCGCATTACGCGTAATTATTCGGCTTACAATTCTGAATTCAGCGATTTTGTTTATTATTTACACAAATACACACCGTGTCCTAATTATAAGCGCACTAGATTTTGACAAGTTTTACCAAACACTATTGTGTGATTTAATGTTGGGTTATTTTTATAATAATATTTTTTATTTTTTAACAAAAAACGCATAAATTCAAATTGCGAACTTTGCGCAGTATTTAACTTATTACTTTGGAAAAAAATTCTAGCACTTCAACTAGATTTCTCAGAAACATTTTGGGTATGCAAGTTTTGTCGCCCATTCAATTTTACTATAACGGATTGAATTTGAAATTAGTCCTGATTTTTGGCAGTTTTTTATCAGCTGTTGCTAATTTTTTTCATATAAAAAATTTAAAACATACTTTATATGAAAAAATGCACAAAGTGCATGTCAACAAAAAAAAAATGCCAAAAATCAACGATAAATCCTAGAGTTTGAAGTACAAACTTGCATTTTATTGTATTAGAATTGAAAGGGCTAAAAAATGCATACCCAAAACCTTTCTAAGAAATCTAATTGCAAACCCCGAAATTTTTTAGAGTTTGTTTAACTTTGTTTAATGTTGCTCTAAGTTTGGATTTATACGGCTTTTGTTAAAGAATAAACTAAATTTTTATAAAAAAATAAATAAAATTTAATAAAACAAAGTTATCGAAACTTGTCAGCATGTTGTGCGCTTATAATTATGGCACAGGGTGTACATATATTCAACGCCATTAAAATCATTATATACGCGTGTCAATGTGAATTAATTTCTGTTCGAAAATCGCCGCCTTGTATGTATTTCATGGTCTACAAGTGGCGTCATTGTTTTGGGGCGGTCTCCATTTCCCTCATTCGCTTCGTGAATATCGTACTATTGTATTTGAGTTATAATTTCCGGTTTTTGGTAATTATAATGCAATACCAGCAAAAGAAATAAAATAAAGCGGAAAACAATAGCAGCAACAAACAAATAAAAAAAATAAAAAATCGGTGGAACTACGTACTCGTACATACATATATGTGTATGTAAATTAATCATTTCACGTGACGGGTAACAGCAATGAATGTGGGAGGATTATAGGTAGTAGGTACATAGTTTGACTACTTAAAAGCTGCCTAAGAGATTCAAGTTTCATAACCGAAGCCGAATTATCTTAAGAATTGCTTGTCAGCGCGGTTGTTCGTATTGATTTGCTATTTTATTTTAAACTCTGTACACTACACTACAGCGCACAAATAACCATTTAATTTTATGGTCTTGTATCCATTTGTGGCGGCCATAAACCACACCAATTGAAGACCGGCTACGTCGTTGGCCCGCAATGGTTAGACAGCTGAATTTATTATTCAAAAATCGAAAATCGAAATCTACAAATTCGTATACTCGAACAGCCTTGTCAAGGTCTTTTTGGCTACAGCTGTGCCTATATCTATGGGTCTGTGTGTGTATGCGTATGCCATATATACGCTGATCTCTGACGCTTTTGATTTAACTACAGTAATTTTTCTTTTTTGCTATCATTTCGATATTGAATTTACATTTTTATTTGATTAATCAAAAGCAGTTCGGCCAGCAGTGGAGCAACAAGAGTTTTTGGTGTTTTTCACCGTTCTAGGCAAAATTTTGTCGGTTAGGCGTTGCAGCGTTTCGTCTGGCAGCTGCAACCGAATCCATGAATATGTAATTTGTTGAAATTTTGTGCGTCCCGCAGGTGTCGATAAATTTTATACAAAAGAAATTAAATTTGCTACAATTTTTGTGTTGTCAATCGGAAATTAATTGCTCTCGATGGCAAAAAGTTTCAATAATAATTTGAACGACACCAAAAAATTTAGGCATGTTAAATTGAATTAAATTTTGAAAATTCGCTTTGAGGTCTTAATACACATATATCATTCTTACAAATCGCTGCTGGCAGTGACACCCACTTCCAGTCGAAATAAATTATTTTTCATGTCTGTTCTCCTAAATATATGTATGTATTAACTTTGGAATTAATATAATAGGTATAGCCAAATAATAATCCTGCCATTGTTGCGGTGAACTTCTAAAGCTAAAAAATAATTGATAACAAAATAAAAAAAATCGAAATTGATACATAGATGGTTGACAATACTAATTGCTTTATTGTTTGCAAAAAGTTTGAAAAAAATTTAGATTACGTTAAAAGCCAAAAAAGCAATTAATAAAATTTAAAATCATTATTTCGTATTGGATATGAGTTAGAAGATTAGGGTGGGCCGCAAAGAAACTTTCTTTTTATATCACACCATCCACCACACAAATGCGCTGCGCTCCGGGTCTGGAGTTCCCGGAGGAGAAAAAAATTATTTATTTCATTATTTTTCAGATTTTACTTGTTTTTTTTTTGTGCTGAATAAAATAAACAAATATACATTAGGGTGATCCTTAAAAAAAATAAATGAACGATATTTTTCAGTCTCAGCCCTAATTCGAAAATAACGCGGTCACATATATCACATATAAATTTTGGTCCCGATCGGAGTCAGTTAAGACGTCTTCATAGGGTAAACTTCGACTACAGTAGCATCGATGTAAAGATTTGCTTCCTACATTTGAGGACCACCCTAATGTACACACATACTTATGTATGTAATGGGGAAAAGAAATTCTAATACTTATAAATAAAATCAGGAGCATTTTCAAAAACCGTTAAGCCTCCTCTTTGGACCATTATCGGAGCATGAAAACAATTTGAAGACACTTCGTGCAGGTTACCTTCGGTTGATTTTACAGGTGAATAGGGGAGTCTGCACGTAGTCTTTGCAGATTAGGAGTCCTAAAGGCACAATTTTTTACATATACTTATATTAAGAAAGCCGTTTTCTTCGGCGTACATATATGCTTCCTGGGGACTCTTTCCGGAAGCTCCCTAGGAGCATCAACCGCACCGCACAGGGAGTCCTAATTGTGCACCTTGTGGACTCCGCTGGTTGGCTGGGTATTTTATTATAACTAAAAATCTTCTGCTTCTTATTTGACCCTGCCTCCGAAAATAAAAAACTTCACAAATCGGCTCTCTCCAAGCTAAGTTTTGCCAATTGTTCATCCCGAGTGCCGACAGATCATTCTGTTGTTCAATTACCTACCGAGCCCAAAGTAGAATCCATCATCAATGGCGAATTTGCCAGATCTGAAGCCATGCTGATTGGGTCTATTCAATTGGTCGACCAAAGAAAGCTTATCAATACTGTGGCTTTCACCAAACAATCAATGCTTCATATTTCCTGAGCGATTTGAGCTGGGCGCGTAATAGAACATTATCTGAGAAGCCTGCATGCATCAAAATATCTAACTATGTATCATCAAGTCCTGGGAGAAAAGTGCCTATTTTACCTCAGAATTTGCGAAGAAATGGCACAAGTTAAGACAAATATATTTTAGACTAAATTTAGTACCTCATCCTTCTGGAACTGATAACTTATGCAAATGACGTAGCAGAACAAACATTTTGGATACCCTTCATGATATGATCCAGGAAAACTGACACCTGGCCTTTGAACTTTGTACTCGCTGTAAATCCTGATGAGACTTATGAAAAGGGAGGAGTTTCAATAGAGTCCAGTACTTGTGCTTTTTATCAGATGGGATAGGTTTTATGGAGTCCTTGTCTGGTGGAATGAACTAAAAAGACTACTCTTGTTAGATAGCTGGAAAAGTCATTGAAATAAATGGAGCGTTTATCTCACTGCTGAGTGGAAGATCGCCCTATTCGGCTGCCGGTTCGAAACTGCCCTTTCTCGGCAAATGTTTGAAACACGCCCTAATTAGGCATTTGGTTCGAAAACTCCCTATTTAAGCTGTCGAGTAAGGGCGATATTCCACTCAGCCGTCGCTGTACACTCGTACCTTGTAAAATTGTTTATCTTCCCAATCCNTAAGCTGTCGAGTAAGGGCGATATTCCACTTAGCCGTCGCTGTACACTCGTACCTTGTAAAATTGTTTATCTTCCCAATCCATATTTAAGAATTAACATGTTTGCTAAGTATTTGAAGATCGTCAATCAAATTGAATTTTATGCCGCCTTCGAATGACAGATGGTTTAGTTTTGTATGATAGAAGTATCACTACCGTGTGGTTGTACGAACCTCTAACGACTCGAAATTTCAAATCATTCATATCACTCGAATAAAGTGAAATCAGAAACCATTACAAAATATTTGAACTAACGACATACTTTTCTTTTGTATTTCCAGTGAATTTGACAAACTAAATAAAGCCGATGTGTATTACAATAATGAATTGGCCTTCACCACCGCGGAGAAATATTTGGGAATACCTGCCTTGTTGGATGCAGTCGATATGGCCACCTACGAAGTACCAGACAGATTATCAATACTCACTTATCTATCACAATTCTACCAAGTATTTGCAGCACAAGGTAGGTGGAAAAATAATATACCCAGTAATTAACTATAAACAAAACAAAGTAGTGCTTGAAATTTATAATGCAAGGTTTAAAAAAGTACATAGTATATTTATAATACTAATAAAAATGTCTAATTTTGTATAAAGATAAAAACAATATTTAACATTAAATATTTTAATTCAGCAAATTGGGAAACTGTTTTCATAGTTTCACGCACACATATACCAGCATAGATAATTTCAACAATGAATAATTTTAAACGTGACTTTTCCCATTCAACCTTCAGTTGACTACAGAAAAAGTGCTCATCCATTAAAAACAATTCATTATGTATATCCGCTTTACGCCAGATAACCGTTATTCACAAATAATATATAATAGTCACAAAGCAGTGCCACTCCATCTCCGTACATTTATGTATTTAAATTGTTAATTTCAAACTAAATAAAAATTGTTGGTTGGTAAAAAGATTAACGCTTGAGTACCTCGCAGAGTCCATTTACTGGCACTTTTTCCCTCAAACACGCTCTCGATTTGTTGGTACTTTGAAAGAGTAAAAATGTACAAAAAGCGGAAAACAAACGAATAATGGCACAAAACCAAAACAAATATTGTTTGCGAAGAAAATGCATTTTCGAGCCACTGCAAAAGGGGCCAGCCAAATAAGATTGAATTATGGCTGAGGAAGTGAGGAAAGCGGCGAAAGTGCATTGCAGGCGCAATTTTATTATGATTTTGTGCTAATCTACTTTTATTGTAAAGTGTAGAGTTTGCCTTTACTAGCTTTGTTTCTGTTTTTGATTTATATATATTTCTATTTCCTTTTTTTTTGCTTTTGTGGTTATGTTGTTTCTACTGGTGCAAGCAATTAACAATTTACAGTTGCAATGAGTTACGCTGCCTGCGCATGCGCTGAAGCGTTTGATTAATATTGTTTTCATGTGGTTGTTTTTTCACACAAACTCCGAACACATATCGACACTATAATAAACAAAAACGAGTTGATTTTGACTGCCAATAACTAGTCGTTCGCCTACTTGTATGCAAGTGTGGTTATGTATTGGCAAAATGCTCCATTTGGTGGTTAGTGGGGTAACGTGCGGAGTTTTTAATTGAACAGTGAAGGGGATTGAGAGCATGCCAGTTTACATACATACTATATACCTACATAACAATATTAGGGTGGTCCTTAAAATATCAACATTTTGTTGTTGTAGACATCCTCGAAAAATTTTTTTTTTTTTATTTTTAGGTTCCCGACCGGGGTTCAAAAAATTTAATTTTTTTGAAATCGCAAAAACTCGATCAAAAATTTTACTTTTATCAGATTTCAAGTCAAAATTTTTGCATTTTTTAACCGACCTCAAAAAAAGGAGACTGTCAATTTGGCGGAATATTTGTTTTTATGTATGCAACCATATAACTTTGGGGTACTGTTTAGTAAGTGGCCCATCTATTTCGGGGTATTGCGTCCAAAGGGGTGACCCGATCCAAAAAAAATTGCACACACTTGTAGCCAAGGGTCTACCCATTATTTTAACATCCACTATTGTAATTTTGGGTCACTAATTTATTTACAAATTGGGTTTGAAATATGCCCTTTTTTGTAAAATTCGGAAATTAGCGTAAATTTATCACTCCTATTCTCCTTAAAGCAGCTACATCAGCAATATATTTTTATGTTCTCCTTCACTTTACACTTTACTCGATGAGCTATAACTTTCTTTATAACTTTAATATTAACCAATTAATCACAATTTATTAAATAAAAGCACCTTCTAAATCATGCGTCTGACTTTTGTTGCATATGCAAATTAAATAGCGTAGTTCAGCTGTCAAACTCCAAAATATGCAAAAGAATGAGAGACAAAAGAAAATAGGATATAACCCTGTAAGCATTAAAAATATACAAAGGTGTTCTCTGTAAAAGGTATTCAGCTCCTTTTCTTCGCAAAACAGAAAGGAGAATTCTACTGCCTGAGGGTTATAATCCCTAAGTGCGGCCGAAGGCCGCCTACGCACAAAGGTGTTCTCTGCGAAAGGTGTTTAGCCCTCCTTTTTTCGCCTGATAACCACCTTGGGATAACTTCTTTTATTTAAAAACCCCACAGATTCTGTTAGTTGGGTTATATTCCACTTCAAACTGCTCAGTTTGCCTCGGAAAATGCCGTTTTTACCCCATTTTCAAACGGTTCCCTAGGGGTCTGTGGGAGGTCCCCAAGGAGGGGGTGGGGCTTTTCGCAAAGTGGCGACTGGCCCCTTTCGAATGAGGGGGGTTTGGTGGGCCACGCCTCCTCCCCCTCCGCCCCCACCCCAAAAACGATGGGCCAATAACTAAACATTTCCCTAACTTTGGCCCACGTGAACCGGTTTCAAAAGTTTTTCTTTTATTGGAAAAAACCTATACTAAATTTCTTCAAGTCCTGGTCTTAAAATTTCGAGGATTTATTTATTTATACGTGAGAAAAATATAAATGGTTGCCCCGAACAAAATTTAGATGTTGATATTTTAAGGTCCACCCTAATGTATATGAACGTATATATGGACGTATGTAATCGTTACCGATATGATTGGAGTGGATGTAGTATATACATATATATATATACTCACATATGTACATATTGACTGCATTTGCCTGCGAAGATTTACTTTTAGACTTGGAAAGACTTGTGAACAACAAACCATAAGTTATTGTTTTTCCTCAGGAATCGGGCTTATGTATTCATTAATTTTTTTTTGCATCTGGGAAACTCGACTTAGACGCCATTTTAAAGAATGATCGATTAGAAAAAAATATGTTGGAATAGAAGAAAATGCATTGAATGCCTTCTTTTACGTACGTTTTTTCAACAAACAGGAAAAAAATGTTGTTAGTTTTTGACTCACTTGAAAAAATACAGCGGCGTTAAAACCAGAAAGATTGGCTAGAACCTTCCATCCTGAAGCTAAACCCCATCGATCTTCACCTGTTAAATGTTGATATAAAGTCCGTGAACAGTCTCAGAGAATCAAGCCTTAGGAAACTATATAGACACTTCCGATACGCGAGGATAATTACGAAATGCAATTCGGAAGGACAATTGACTACTTATATAGTAAACAATAAAGACTTCAGCCGTAGCATGCAAGTGCTATTCACATGAATTACTGACTGCTTTTGTAACTTGAAATGGGTTGAGTATTCAGTAAGAGAGAGTCCCATAAAGTGCACCAATAGAGTGCCATTCGAGAGAATCGAGTTCGAGTCTATGCGCTATGGAATTTTGTTTATTTTTTTTTTTTTAAGTTTTTTTACAAAATATTTAGATTTTCATGTTTTAAAAAGAGATTTTTTTTAATATTATTGAATTTTTATGTTTTTAAAGAAAAATAGAAAACAACCATCTTTTCCTCCATTTTTTCCTTTTTGTGACCTGCTCAGAGCCATCAGATAAATTAGTCACTTTTTTTGAAACCAGAGACGTGAGACAGCTTACTGAATACCAAAGTGTCAAAGTCGATATTAACCACGAAAAGTTAGTGACTAGAGACTTTTAACTGAATACCAGCATAAAATTGGTCTCTGTGACTCAGTCAACTACCATCTCTCTTGTCTGGCTTACCGCACATAGGAACATCGAAGGCAGTTTTAGAGCTGATAAATACGCAAATCGGGAGCCGTTTTGGATGAATCTGAAGCTGCGACATTGGGTTGTCCTCTTGCAACAATCCAAAGAGGAGCTACTCTTTGTTTCTTTAAATGGCTAGAAATAGGTGACCAGCTCTACAGGCTTGCAAGATAGCCCTCTCTCTGTCCTGACTATTAACAGCACTAAGACCTTACATCTGCTGAATAGATTAAGGACAGAATTATTCATAATTGTAGCAACCACTACGGGGCGCTGGCGTCTAGCCAAAAATACTTCAAAATTTAGACCACCCTGTAATAGCAATATGCGGCAGCTGTAAGCTAAAGGATACAGAAGAAAGTGTGCAACAAGCTTAGTGAATGTCCATAAGTGAAATGGGCAAATTCATTGGAGGAACAGGATGGGTCGACCAAGCAAAATATGAGGTACATATGTATATGAAACATTTACAAGGGAAGTACATCAACATTGCGCGAAAACGACCTTTATGTATCCTACCAAGCTGTTAGAAACCAACTATTATCATTGGATACTACCTTCTTAATACGGACGCACAGAAAAATGCGGATCTTGCTCGTTGTAACTTGTATCGCCGGAAGGAGAGGCTACTAATCATGAAAAGGATTTGACTGACTATTAAATACTCCAAACATTACTTCAAGTCAATTAAAATTTGGAAAGGTTGTATTTTAATCCGTTTTGAACTTTTCACCATTTTCGATATTTGTTCCAAAATATGATAACTTTATTTAGAGAATACTCTTCCTTTCAAAACTCGTCCATCTAGTTAATAGATTGATAGGCCTCAAAACTATCAGCTTTCAATTGAATTTCAAGCATGACTCTTAACGCTGTACATTTGTTGATGTCCCTATTTAAAACTTTTTGGTCGCAAGTATTTCAGGCCATTCGTAATCTACCCTGGGATGTTCTGAACTACACAATTTTTGTCCAGTATCACGACAATTAAAAGTTGACCTCACAACGGACCTTTGGTTTTTCGATCGATTTAATGCTGTTTTTTTCCTTCACTGGTGTGCCCTAGTTTCAGTCGTCAACAACATTTTCTATTATTTTAATTTTATTCTCAAAAGTTCGTCTAGAAAGTACTGGAGCCAGTAATATTTCCAATAACATATCAAATCTTAGCAAAAGCCCTCAGTGCCTAAATCAAGCTGTTCTCTGCCTTAATAGATTTCAGGGCCTGTTTGTCATATCTATAACATTTATAGCAGATTCATTCATTGATTAATGAGCACGATCTTCGGTTTGAAATTGAGAAATCTGGTCTGCCTTTCCATAGAAAAGAATTCTTACTCCATTGCACACGGCCGAAATTGGAACTGATATAGCGTGACTAATTAGTATAGAACGTACGGCGAAAGCCTAAATAAACTCCTTTTCCATTGTCCAGCTAAAAAATCTATTCAGACCACGGTCCAAACACGCTTTCATAAATAATGTTGGCAAGTCTGGGGATCCAGTTTTTTAAGTACTCTTATACACTTGGATATTAGGAGTGTATTGTAGTGATGATCAATATGAATTTTTCATTCAGAAACTCGAAAAACTTAAAAGAAAAAAGAGAGTTGCGCAATGATCT